ACACATACATATGCATATAGCTTTGTAGGCATGTATGTTCCCCGACGAAGTGTGAAATGGAGCGCGTGGTGGGTATGTGTTCTCAAATGGGGTGTGTTTCTCTCTGGCTGCGCCATTAACAGCAACACAACAAGAACAAAACCTTTTGTAAGCTCAGCTGCTACGTTGAGTGCGCGCGCGCTTTTGAGAGTGAATGAGCGAACGTCGGCTGCATTATTCCATGCCATGCTTTACTTGTTTGTATACATCCATACACATACATATATGTACGTATGTGCGCTAGTGTGTTGGTATGCACTGCAGGAGCGTAAATTTCCAAGAATAAAATAGAAAATCAAAATCCCCTGACTAAATTTTTCATTGGTTGGCTGTGATTGCGCGCTCAGTCTGGCGTTGATATAAAATGACAAACATACTTATAGTTCAGTGCATGCACATGTATGTATGTATGTATGCATGTATTTATGAATATGTATACAAAAATATGTATTTGAAAAATCCATTCAAAAAACATTCACACTCATAATTTAGCAAAGCTATAAATGAATATGCGTATATACATATATATACTCGTTCATATGTATATGTATGTACATACATATATTCTTTTTAAATCAATTGAAATGCAATTCGGTATGTGTGCTCTGTTTTATAGTACTACATTTTTCCACGACACAATTTTCCAGTGCAACTCTGATTTTTATCTCCGCCATTGATAGTCGTCGTCAACGTCGGCGAGAACGACGTCGTCACTGATTTTTGTTAGGTTGTTTATATGTCACATATACAGTAGTACATCGATATTTGAAATACATACATATGTATATGTACATGTAATACATCTCACTGTGTGTTGGTGTGATTAGAAAGGCAATGGCGTTAATTCACTATTTGTAACATGCATATGTACATACGTGTATGTGGGTTGGTATGTTTGTACGCAGAAACAGCCAACAAAATTTATACTTAATAGTAGCTGGGCGGGGAATAACAAGTTTTTATAATCAGTTTTAAATATATAAATACATTTGAGTCAACCCACTTTGCCTATTAAGAGCAATTTTATTTTTGCGAATTAATTTGATTACTTTAACACTCAAAGCGTGCAGGATGGAGGCTCGTAAACACTTAATTATATAATCAATTGTGTCCGAAAACATGAATCTGAATTCTTGGGTAAGTTATTTATCATCAGTGGTTTAAGTATTTATCAATTTTTCAACTCATTGTTTGATAGTGAATTTTTTTTTAAATTTTTTTTTTTAAACGAGGCAATACTTTCTTCGGAGTGGGCCTTTCAGACAGCTGTTACTGACTTACACCACAACAACGTTTGCCAATCGTAGCAATCGTAGCAGATTCGGTTGTTTGAGCTATCATTTCGAACCACTTGTGCTCTAGTGGATAATGCACGTTCTCAGAGATGTCGTGCAATGCGCACCGTATACGCTATTGCTGCCGTGAAGCAGAGTATCGAAGTTGATCCAAATGAGTCCATTCGCCGTCCACTTTATGGAAGATTTTGTCGAAGAATGTTGATTTTCGGACTTACAAAATCAAATTCATGCAAAATTTGTATTGAATGAGTCCAAAACGAGATGGGTGCCGATCTCGATTTTCACAAAAAAATTTGTTCAGTGTTGAAGCTCACTTTTGGTTAAATGTCACATATGTACTTGTGACAATCCAGAGGCCATTGTTGAAAAGTCGTTACATCGGAAAAAAAGTCTATATTTGATGTACTTTTTAGGCAGCGAGAATTATTGGTTCATATGCCCACAAAAGTGAAGCTGGTCAACGAGAAACGTTGGAAGAAGGATGCTGACGCAGACGACCTCTGGTTCCAACAAGACGGTGCCACATCCAACGAAACATTTATTTTATTGAAGGAAAATTTTTGGTGAGCTGCATTACCTCGTGTCGTGGGACTATGGTGCGATTTCCAAGATCGTACGATCTAACACCACTGGACTATTTCTGGTCGAGTTGCATTTGTATTTCGCTTGTCTAGGAAGATAGCCCCGAGATGTTTTTCGCATTGGAAGAGAACATTTGAAGCGTACGCCCTAAATTGCTGCAGTGGTCGAAAATTGGACCTTTTGGCGGAGGTTATTTAAGCCACGCGCGGTTCTATGAAATGATATGGTCTTCTTATCTTGCTGATATTAGTATAATATATTATAAAAATACAAGTGCTTACAAGATGTGGTTGAAATATTTCAAAAACTTAGGTACTAGTTTGCTTTCGTCAATCTGATCTCAACGGTATGAATTTTAATCCTACCAGGCGTATTTCGGATCAAAGTTAATATAGTATAAAATCCAATGTATAAGGTCTCAACCGTGTCAAGAAATGGTAGCGCCTGAAGCTCTTCAGGTTGCTCTTCGTCCCGAATGCGGCAATTTTGATTATTTACGTACCCATTAAACCAGAAAGAGGCCTCTTCGCTAAACAGAACTTGGCTCGAAAACGCCGGATCTTTTTGGAACATTTCAAGAGCCTATAGAGCGAGGCCAAGTGGCTTGGGAAAGTCGAGCGGCTTAATTTCTTCTACTGGCAGTATTTCGTACGCTCTTAGTTCAAGATCTTGACGTAGAATGCGCCAAGTCGTTCCTTACGTCAGTCCGAGTTGCTGCAAATGGCGCCGAATCGAATCGATTCTTCAAGGTCTTCGAGTACACCCTCAGCTACGGCCGCTATACATATTTTCTTCACTGCGTGCGGGACGTGGTCTATTCGGTCGAATATAATCCAATAATGAATGCTGGATCTCTATATGTTGTTGCCCAAAGTACTTTTTGGGGAATGTTGCGGGTGTGCCAGTCCTTGGCGGGATAAAAATCCGGGTCGTTCCGGTATAAAGACCCGACTGTCGCGGGAACTATTGGTTTTTAGTCGCCACTCAACGACAGGCATGCTTTACCGCGGGTAAATTCTTGAACCCCTAACCCGCAGCGGGGATAGATATCAAGATGGGTGATGGCGCTGCGAATAATACGTTCAATAAGCCGATTATATTGACCATGAGTCGAGCAAAACGCCCAAAACACGTTTTTTACAGAACGTGAATGTTCGTAATATAATAAACGTTGTTCAGTCTTTCCAAGCGGAAATGCCAAATGATATTGAACAAAACTAATATGACAGCTTGACACGACTTACCCGTGGTGTGTCAAAAAAACGGGCTATTGAAAAAAGTACCTCCACATGGATGACACGAAGTCTGATGAGTAGACGTGGTGATCTCCTAAACAGCTGTCACAACTACCATACTTCTTTGTTGTATAACAAAATATTCAATTTTCTTATATATACAGGGTGCGGCATCTATATGTGACAGTTTTTACAACACAGCGTGCGTATCACGACCGTGCTGATCCTTAAAGGTACACTATGCATCGCTGGGATTAGAATTTCTAGACTCACGGGAGACTCACACAAAAAGTTCCCCGGACGTATGGTATCGAAAGGAAGGAATATCGACTGGCCACCAAGATCTCACGATTTGACTGTACCAGACTTATTCTTGTGGGGCTTTTTGAAGACCAAAATGTAAGCCAACAAACCGAAGACTTTGGACGAGTTGAAGAACAACATTCGAGCTAAAATCGCTGCGATATCGCCCGAGCTGCAGGCAACTGTCATGGGAAATGCCGAAAAAAGAGCGAAGTTTTGTTTGCGCAATAAAGCGGGTCGTTTGATCGATGTTGTTTTTCAAACCAAGCTGGCAAAAATTGTAAGGCTTTAAATCAGATATCAAAAAAAGTTTATCGAAATTCATTGAAAATTGTGCAAGTTATTCAACATTTCCATTGAACACATATGGATGGCGCACCCTGTATTAAAATCACCCTCAAATTAATCCGATGTTGCGGAATTTCGCCGAGACGAAGTTCGCTTGGTCAGCTAATTTCTTATAGAAATCTATTCGCACTTTACACTTTCACTTTTTGCCATATCGTGACGATTTGGTGGGTGCATTAGGACCTCCCATCCGAGCTCTTGGAGCTTCTGGCGCGTCCCCCAAGACGTGTGTGACCTGGCGTTGTCCTGATGAAACACAATTCGGCCTCTGTTGATCAAAGATGACCTCTTCTGGATGGGTCCTGCCTTTAAGCAGTCCATTTGTTGGCAGTAGATGGCCGAGTTGAGCGTTTGGCCATAAGAGAGCAGCTCGTAGTAGACGGTTCCTTGTCAATCCAGCCAAACACACAGCATAACCTTCCGGGCCGTCTATCCGGTCTTGGCTACCGTCTGGACCGCTTTCTCGAGCTTTGATCACTACCGTTTGCACTCGATATTATCGTAAGTGAAACATTTTTTATCGCTAGTCACAATCCGCTTCAGAAACGGGTCGATTTTGTTGCGATTCAGCAGCGATTCGCAGATGTAAATTCGGTCCATCTTGGTTTTTGCGTTACTTCGTGTGGCACCCAAACATCGAGCTTCTTTTTGAATCCAAGGTTGTGCAAAGGGTTCCAAAGGGTTTTCCGGCTTATCTTTAGTTCGACAGCAATTAAATAAGTGCTCACGCGACGGTCGGTTTTTACTATTTCCATGATTTTATCGCGATTTTCGACGACAGGCCTCCCGACGCATGGTGCATCTTTGACATCGAAATTACCGGAACGGAGTCTAGTAAACCACTCTTGTGCTACACGTTCGTTTATAGTATCGGGCTCATAAACTAAATTAATTTTTTCAGTCGCTTTGGCTGCGTTTTCGCCTTAATCGAAGAAAACTGTAAAATATAGCGAATTTTCTCTTTGCAGGTGTTTATCTTTGACGAGCGCTCCCAACGTACTGAGTCAATCAATCGAAAAACTGTCAGAGACAAACTTTTAGCGCGAATAAACACGTATTCAGCGCCGTATAGGATGACATGATGCGACACGTAACACTAGTACTATGGACGCTAATAACGCCATCTCTTAGATAAAAACCGAACGAACTTTTTACTTGACCTAATATGTGTGCATATAAAATTTTTTCAACTTACCCGTATGTATGTAGGTGTGCTTCTTCATATCGCTCTTTTGATGAAAACGTTTACCGCAATAACTGCATGGATAAGGCCGTGTGTCGCTATGTATCAGCAGGTGTGTGGACAGAGTGCTGGAGCGTTTAAAACGTTTACCGCATTGTTTACACTCAAAGACCTTCTCCACATTATGCACAGCTCTGAATATGAGAAGAGAGAAAGAGAGAGACAGAGAGAGAGAGAGGAGAAAAAGGAATTCTTTACTATTTGCAGTAGATAAAAGTGAAACTATTTAAAATAAACTTAAATACTTAACGAACTTAACTTAAGCCCACAACACACTTAACGAGATCTACAAAAGAACAGACAATAAAAATTTTCTTTAGCCCCAAGCGTAGACTTGCCGCGAGAGTGAGTGGTTGCCGGAAAATGTTACATTTGGTTGTTTTAATTTAATTGCAAGCGAACTAACAAATTAATTCATTTAAACAAGTGTAACAAAAAGCAGACTACCACCGGCCTCCTGACTTTAGTAGCTTCCCGCGGTCATTTGGCCGGTCGGTCGGTCTGTCTCTACGCGTGGACTCATTAAACTTTCACAACCGACTAAATAGGAATATTTATGCTAAAAAGGCTTTCGGTACAAACTTTCTACATATATATACATACATACATATCATGCATACAATAACTGTACACAACATACCTGTGTTGACTCAAACTAACTTCATGACCGAAAGTCTTGTTGCACAGTTCGCAAGCGTAGGGCTTCTTGCCGTGATGTGTACGCCGTGAGTGGACTTCGAGGCCGTGTGGGGTGGAGAACATCTTTTCGCATTTCATGCATGAGTAAAGGTCACTGAATTGCGGCAGGCCAGGCCATTTGGCCATATGGTGGAAATGCAGATGTGGTGGATGTGGCAGGCCGAGATGGGAATTTGGCGGCAGACCAGACGCATCACCATTTTGGCTTGACTGCAACGGCACCATTAGATTGCGTAGACGAAAGAGATCTTCCTGCGAAGCGGGATGATAGCTGGAGGGAAGAACAGAGAGAGAAAAACACAACAAAGGAACATATTAATGTTATACACAAACTCGTACCTACATATATGTATGTATGTGTGTATTCGACTGAGCAATTAAATATTTTGCAACTTTTAATTAAGTCTTTGGTGTTTTAATTTTTTTGCATAGTTTTTTTTTTTCTTCATTTGCTCAGTCTTTCATTTTCCAACCAAATTTAGCTACTTACGCTGAGGTTAAGCCAGATTGCTGACCCTGATGCAGTGCAAAGGCGGCAAAAAGCGGAAACGCGGGCGGTAGTAGTGGACGTTGAAAGAATGCCGGCTCATAGCCCGCCGGACCGCCACTGCCGGCAGCAGCTCCGCTACTCGTCGTATAACCATTGCGAAATGCTTCGAATGGATTCATGCCCATAGGCAGATTCACAGCTGCTGGCGACTTTTGCGTTGGCCGCAGAACCGTTACACCACCACAACCACCACCACCACCACCACCACCAGCAGCAGCATGAACAGGTTCATCGCGTCTCAGTAGGGCCGATACTGAAAACATTTCAGACTTTTTCGGACTCGAGCTAATTAACAGTTCTGCGGTCGTTGGTGGCGAACTGATTGGACTTTCGCGATTATTGTTGTGATGTTGAAAGGCAGGTGGTGGCGGTGAATCCACTTCGAGCTCTACCGAACTCGAACGTGAACGCGAACGTGAATGCAGTGAACGTCGACAATTACTATCATCGTCGAGATCGATTTGTGATGAGGTGCGTGAATGGCTGCGTGATCGTGAAAGCATATCGCGTTCGATGTAGGAATGTGGTTCGCTAATACCGCTATCACTGAGAGGTTGTTGTAATTTCCATTGTAATATTTGATTTTTGCTCAATATACTAATTGAGTTGTTGTTGTCCTCGTCATGCTGCACCTTCGCGGGATTAGTGCTGTTGGTGGCACTATGAAGTGCGGAGGGATGATGAGTGGATAAGTGTTCGGACTTCACAAGGCGATTTATGCTGAAGGCAAGTTCATCTAAAAGGAGAGAAGAAAGAAAATTTTAAGTACAAATATTAGATAAAAATCGGAGTAGGAATTTTTAGTAGAACCGTGATTGTCCAATTAAATAAGTTAATTAGATTCGCTTGCATCGAGATTCGTAAAGCGGAAAAAGTGGAAGGAGCACTTAAGGACCTGCAATCTCTCCTTCGGGGCAACCACGCTCTGGGCTTTCGTCTAGTTGTTGTCCAACCCGATGAGACACGATGACTGAGTGGAAATTTCATTCGGATATGGCGCCTCTTCGGACCCGAGCTATTTTAGCCGACTCCTTACACTGCATCCGTCGATAGACAAAACGAAGCGAGGTGTAACCCGTCGCGGCGATTGATTTCTTCAGGGAAGAGGTTCAGGCGCTCAACGGGAAGGCGAAAGCATCCAACCCTTCCGGCCCCAACGGAATAAGCATGCTGATGCTACAACATTTTAGACCAGCGGATGCAGAATGTTGTGGCACCAAAGTCCTCAACTTTTCTTTGACTATCCTAATGATACCAGACGTGTGGAAAATGACCAGGTTGGTCACGCTACTCAAGCCGTGGAAACGTGCCAACAAAGGAGAGTCTTATCGGCCGATAACTCTTCTCTCCCCAGTATCGAAGACACTTGAGGCCTTGCTGCTTCCGACTTTCACTCACCATCTGCGTCCAGCAGTACATCAGCATGGCTTCCGTAAGGTGCACAGCATCACAATAGCACTAAACGCCACCAACACTCAGATAGTCAATGGTCTTAACCAAAACCGACCCTGCGCGCGAACTGTCCTGGTAGCACTGGATTTGTCAAAAGCTTTTGACACAGTCAATCATTCAGTGCTGCTAACGGACATTGAGGAATCCTCATTACCGCTGGGGTTGCAGAGGTGGGTCATGGGCTACGTGAGTGGTCGACAATCATCGGCAATATTCCGAGGTGAAACATCGAAACCTGGAAAAATTAAACAGGCGGTTCCGCAGGGTGGTGTGCTCTCCCCGCTGCCCCTCCTCTACCATAAGGAGTTTCTCTAACCTCGTATGCCGATTATTGTACGATATTGACGTCTGGCCAGAATATTGATCACCTATGTTCGAAAGTGAACTATTACCTTGCCGATCTTTCTCACTTCTTCACAGCACGACAGTTGAAAATACATCACCAGCTCGACGAGCATCACTTATACAGCGAAGCATCTATGCTACGAGTTAAGAAGGATAACGCTTTGCGATGTTACCGTAGGGAGCACCCGAATAGGCATCTAATAGAAGCAGAACCCCCACGTGGGCACATCAAAAAAGTGCAAGAACCACTGTACAGGACAACGTAAGAACAAGCACTGAACGCCATTAACCTGGAGTCAGTTAACACCTTCAAACACTCCCTTTCTATGAATAGCGTGCTCAGAGAAAAAGCACCACCTATCGCAGACAACGAACTCGAGTTGCCTCGAGAGACTCGCGTGATACTGACACAACTTATCCAGGCATGTAGCAGGTTAAACTCCTACCTCTTCAGCCTCGACCCCAATATACCCAACATATGTATGCCCTGCAAGTAGAGAGTCTGCGCAGGGATACTAAGCACCTCTTTACATGCATCTTTAAGCTGCTACATCTAACCCTCCTCTCCCTATGGTCCGATCCCGTCGAGACAGCACGTTTCCTATACCTACCGTTAGATGACCTCTTTGACTGGTTTACACATAGGGATTTCTCTGAAACTCTGCAAGTAGCAGTAAAGACCTATCCGCCTTGTCAAAGATGTTGACACACCCCAGAAACACGACCGACGCCACTACCAATGAAGATGACATATGCTCAGCAAATAAAAACAAAAACCATGTAAATCACCTAAAAAACCTTTATCTTCTCATTATGCACGGTTAAATGAAAAATTGAAACTAACAAAATCTAGAGCAAACACCCACCTGTACACTCTCCACTAGCTGTGCTTGTGCACATGGGCCTACTTTGCTTCCGACAAATCACTTACACACTAATATAAAATACATATATGTATCTATGTATGTATTTATGTCCGTCCGTGACGGCATCAAATTTCCGAAACATAATTATTTTCGTATTCAATCACATAATCCACCTTACATGACCATTAATTCACCCTAATCAACCGCCCATCACCGAAGCCCACACATACGCATACACCTAACTATGTATATATAGCCGTCGGATGCGACGAATCGGCAAATCATCATTATCATCAGCAACAACAGGCGTTCATCCTGCCCTCCTGCGACATACTCACCGAGTTGACGTCACACAGCTTCCTTAAAGCCGCGCACATTTGTACCATAGAAAATGAAAAATACATACATACATATATACAGTCATACGATAATAATAACAATAATATGCGTTTAAATAGAACATCTGTTCTGCCACACACCCGAATAAATGGAGCATGACCAAACAGAAAATACACAAACGCCCAGCAAACATAATCAAACGGCTCTCCCTCTCCCTCGGTGTTTCCCTTTGGCAAATGATTTGCATTCACGGTGACATTGATATATAAACAGCTAACAAATTACAACAACAATAGGTGTAAAACAGTCATTGTTGTTGTTGTTGTTGCTGTTGAAGTTTCATGGGGTGGAGAGAAAAGGGGTATGTGGAAGAAAATCTGCAATCACAAAAGCGCAAGCACGCAGCGGCGCTAAAACATCACACACAGACACACTCATACACACACACACATACACACACACACATACCCAGAGAGCCACAGACAGAGCGCTGTAAAAGTTGACGCAGAAACGCATTGAGTGCGTGTGTGAGTGCGTATGTGTTTCGAATGCGTGACGAAATGACGTGTCGAGCTAAAATTGTAATTTCACAACAAAAAAAGGAGTAATTCGTAATGCTTTGGAAAAATCAAATACGAATACAAAGCGACTGTTTTGGCACAGAGACTTGCTTGCTACACAAGTGGGGTGAGTAGTGTCTCGATGTAAAGGGTGAAGGTGTTGAATGTGGAAAATTGATGTTAACTTTTTAGACGTAGACTCGAAGACAAGCGAAATAATTGTTGCACAATAGGAAATTGATAAATTGTATGTAGAAGAAAGGCTGTGATATGCATACATACATAGGTGATTATGCATGGGTTTCGCAACAAAACGAGGGGGTGTGATTTCGTGAACAAAAATTAAATAATATCAAATAAATGAAACTTTAATATAGATTTATATAAGAAATAAATGAAGAAAGGATGCCATGGAACGATCAGCATGCCTGTAGGAAAGCTAAATCAATCAAAACCTCAATGCATTGAACAATTTTTCAAAGAAAGTGCATTCTGCCTCGTTGCCTTCCCGGCCAAAAAGGGAGCTTTCGAAAAACGGTCTCCCGATTCTGTTTAATCTGCATTGGATGGCTTAGAAATAAGCATGACACTGGTTGAATTTATATATCATCTTATGCAGAAGTGTCACAGTGAGGCTGGGAGATTATCGTAGTAGGTAAGCACAGGAACAACCCAGAGTAACGTCCTCGCTCTCATGCTCTATAATCTAAAGTTTTTCTCGCTTCAGACATGAACTTTTTGAAGACGTACATAACATAAGCTGATTATATAATGGCGGCCTAAAAGCTCAACTTTCCACAAACTTTATCCGACTTGAAAGGTATCTAACTGGTCTTGCCGTTGTGGACGCTAGATGGATCTTGCTTTCTTCGCTAGAGGTATAAAACAGCACCAGCCACTTGAATAGTGTTGAGCTGGGCTTGGGAACCAGGGCATAATTTCTAGGCGAAGACAACAACAATCTAACGCAAAATCACTCTTGCCAACAGGTGTTACTTTGGGCTGAGTAGACAATTGAAAAGTAAAGTCCTCTCTCTACAAGTCGTTCATCGTTCCCGTTTCCGTTCTACTACGTTGGCACATGGTGTGGAAGCATGGACGATAATAACACATGATGAATTTGCATTAGGAGTTTTTGAGACAAAGGTTTTACGTAAATAAACATATATGGAAGAATCGAAGCTCTATGAAAGAGTTGGCGGAGATGTTTTCTCAAGATTCAGCACTCTTTCAGGCTACTCGATAATTGCAAGATGTTTCAAGCTGAAATTTCAACTATAATGGAGACATGCAACATAACATTGGAGACGAATTCACGCAAGGATATCTCGTTCAGTATAAACCTAAAAAGTGTGCTGAACTTTCGAGGAATTCCACACGAATTAACAAAACAGAACAGATTACCTTGGGTTCACAGCGGCAGGGTATAAAAGATAAATTGCAAGGCATAGGAACTTGTCAAGCGAGGCATGACTAAGCTCACTTTAAGAGTTCTTGATTCACCTTCAAAATTTTTATGTGCTAAGTAGAATAATCATTCCATATTCTTTATTCTAAATTTAATTGGGTAATCTAGCTGCTTAAGCTATCCATTTATTATATGTATCATAGTATATTAACACTTAAAGGAGGTTTAAGATAATCTTTCATAAGTAAGGATCTGTAAATATGAACAAAAGGGATATGAGCTACATACGCTATGGCCATATATATATATGACAACTTTTTTTGAGTCGACTTTAACAATGGAAAGTGCGACTTAAACTTTCAACGAATTTTGAACACTTGACTTTAGGTATGGAACACCAAGTTACCAGAATGGCAGTCATGACTTCATTTCATAGGTTTTCAATTGGATTTAACTATGGGCTGGTAAATCTAAAATATCAAACGTTGTCCGTCATGGCGATAGCCGAGTAGTTAGCATTACGTACTGCCAGTCGGAAGTTTCAGGTTCAAATCCTGCTGTCGTACTAACATCCAAAAAGGTATTAAAAATTAATTTAACTAACAAAATAAGTGAAATTTTTTAATTGTGGTCGCCCGTGGACAGGGAATGTCAACCCATCCGAGTATGTTTCTGACATGAAATAAAGGCTCTTCGTAAAAAAAGACCATAAGCCGTTCGAAGGCGGCTTAGTATAAATTTTAGGTCCCTCCAATTGTAAAACATC